CACTGCAGAAGGGTATAGAACTTGGGCTAAGGGGGGTCCGAGGGGACTGCCCCAGAAAATTTTTGATGATTGGAACGTCTCGAGAGCAATTTTAAGTCATCCTCAATGACGAATTAAATATTACAGATGACAGAAATTTTGCTGCCTTGTTTTTAAAAATATCATTCCTTACTGTCGGTTTTTAATTTAATTCATCTTAATTTAACCGTGGACGGAAATAGGGGTGGCCGGGGGGCGCCCCCCCCCCACAATTCTGCTCGGTTCCTTCCAAAAAATGTTATGGTAATGTTCCAAAAAAATCCAAAATTCCTAGTTCGCTAATGAATCTAACTTTCACGAAATCAAGTATTGCGCTAAAATAAAGGAAATAAAAACGAAGGCTGCTCTTTTTGCAAGAAATTTTCATCTTCTGACATCTTTGATCGATCCTAATGGGATTAAGCTCATATTAATTACATTCCCTATGCCGCTTACCTCAAAGGGGCCGAGAAGAATTGTGAGGAAGGGGGGGGGGGCGTTCGGAGATACGTGTTTCTGGAACTACCAGGCGGAAGATACTTATATACATTTTTCGTAGTTTTCAAGCAAATTCCCGACTTTAATCGGCCATAATCACATAATGTAACCCCCAGTGCACATCTATGCAGCTAACTCAGAATTAAAGAAAAATGTATAAAAATGAAGAAATATGTTTTTGATCTGTTATCTGCATATTTGAAAACTTTGAACTCGATTTTCTCAAAACTGAACGAGGTATCCAATGTTTCTTAATGTACGGCTTCATATGTATTTATTTCGACGCAAGCAAGAGGTAATAGGTATGTAGTTGATGTCATTGATATTTCACATGATTTTTAAAATTCCCCGCCAAATTTTTTTTCAGCACTAAATTCCCTACTTTCCTCCTTTTCCCCCTTGTGTTTGTGTAATCAGATTACGGACTTCATATTTTCGGGTTGTTTATTTTGTGTACATTTGACAAAAAATTATACTTTTCCGCAGAATTGTTTAATTACGTATTTTTCCCTAGAATTTTGGATTATTTTCTTGGTTTGGACCCTTGGTGCTTTCTTAAGTCCCATTTTTGGCAGCCCTGGTTACTGTTGTTTTGTCTGGCTCGTGGATTCCTAACCTAGTTCACTTGTTTGGACTGGAGAATCAAATTCTTTTTGTCTAAACTCATTTATCGTCTTAGTTACCCCTTTTCACATCTATTTCAACATCATTTCATTTTCATCATGTTTTCAGTCAACCTATGTAAGTTTATCTTCCTGATTTATTTGTTTTGCTATCTGTTGATTAAGTTATGTTTATCTCCTGAACCCCAGACATTAGGATAAAGCTGACTTGAATACTCATTACTCATAATCAGGAAGGAAAGATCATTTCCGTTTTCTCTCACGTCGTTCTTTCCCCTCTCTTAAAAAATTCCTGACAGAGCCTTCAGCCACTCAACACTGCTACGTTCAGTCCAGAATCGACACCACATGGTAGCGTCGAATCTGGAGATGGAGAACTTCTCGATGAAACCTGTACGCTATGCCATCACGAAATTGAAGAGGTGTTCTCATCAGCTTCAAAACCAGCACTTACTAACTTCCAGTCTTGTTATTGGGGTGACGGAAGCTACCTACGGACAAGTTGTCGTGAACTAATGTGAACCTGGCTCTGACAAATCTCTTTAAAGTTATCAAGAACTTGTGATTTATTATCATTGGACCAACAAGACATCTAACTTATAAATGGATAGATACAATGTATAAATATTGAAAGAAGATGGTTTCCTGGCTACTAGAACACTCAAATCCTTTCATTAAGCTGTGCATCCACAAGGAAGATCGAGGTTCTTTTCACAGAGCCAGTGTTAAGCACTGCTTAAAACAAGACTTTCAGTGATAAAGTCAAGTATTGTCTTTTATTATCAACTTTTTCTGCTCACGAAATTTGATCTTAAGTAGTCGAAGACTTGAGCTTCCTGGTATGTCGTAGACTAAGCTCGGATCAAAAGGCATCAGTTATACTCAAAGTTCCTTATCTTCAATTCTGTCAAAGTTTTTTTCTTGCCAAATTTTATTTCTTTTGCAACAAATTTTCTGTCTCCGCCTTTTAATTTTACATCATGATGCGAAATTATCCACCTTTTATCAGTCAGAATTAATAAATTGATCACTTGATAGTTACACAGAAGTTAATAATATCGACTATTTATTTCAGGATCTTAACAATGAATGAGTTCCTGGATACAGATAGTGTATTCACTCTTCCAACCTCAAACCAGTTTCTTGTTGTTCAGAATGTATCTAAAAAGCTCGATGTGGACTCAACTGTACCCGTCCTTCTGCTTGATGACAATCAGTCTGGCTATGGTGAGTTTCATCTTGTATAAGACCCAGTCAAAATGTTTTCAAAGGTTCACCAAGTGAAATAAGATTCCATGCTAATTTAGTATTTTAGAAGTTTAAAACTGATTTATATATTCATCACCTGACAACGCATGAAAGCTTACAAACTCAACCAATTGTGTGATTTAAAAAAAAAAAAAAAAAAAACACTAGGTAGGTATCTAAGTAGTCAAAATCCTTATCGACAAGTAAGAACTGATTTTCATATGTCAAACATGGCATATAAAGTCATCCACTGTTGTAATGCATACCGTGGGTTAACATTCATCTCTGATTCATTAAACAAAGGTACCAAAAATTGCACTGCTTGCTTGATGTAACACACAGATGAAACCAAGGTTGAAAAGTCTATGATACGCACTAACGCAGTGGATGACGCCATTTGCTATGTTTTTCAGCAATATTGCTGTAATTTAGAAACTCAGCGTTTTCGTAGACTCTATTATTTTCTGCTAATCGTAAAGCTTAAACTATCAAAACAAGTTTCCATAAGTAGTGTAGCTGACCCATTGCTGTGATTTGTACAACAATAGAATTTTCACAACAATCGAATTTGCACCCCAGAATCACAGATTCATACAAGATACAACCAAGGCTGAAAAAGCTGGTAAGGAGTGACAGGAACATACCTAACACTCTATTTTCAATTTATAATTGACTACTATCCGAACTCAATTTCTCATTTACCATTGGACCAATTTTTTTTTACCAATATTTCTGCCAATCAGAAGTATGTGTATTATGACGTGAGCTGTGTTATGCACATATTCTCATGGGTCTTGGGGCTCATGTCTTAATGCACATAGTTCAGTTCGGCAGAAATATGTCCAATTGGAAAAAACATCTCTGAATTTACGAAAGATTTTAAAAATATTTATAGCTCTCGGTTTGATCCAAATTATCAATGTACCTATTTCTGACTCTATTCTCAATACTTGTATTAAATTTAAATATAATCGGGCTCAGTAAGTATTTATTAGTTCCCTGGCCCGAGCCAATCTCAATGTGGTAAGAATTTTTCAAAACATTTTTGTTGTATTTTACTGAATAAACCATTATCTATTTATATGGATACAATGGCCCGATCAATCCGCACTCGTTTCATTATGCTCTTTTGGAAGTGTTAATTTTTAATCATATTGGACCTGTCTCAATTTCAATGCACTTCTTTTACTTCTTACATGACAGGCGCCAAGGCTCCTTTCATCCAATTTCTTTGCTCACACTGTCGAAATTTCCTCTAACTATTAATTTCATTAATTAGGTATCTATATTTTGACTATTATTAATTTCATTTATTATTTTTGACGTGTACTTTCTTTTTTTCCTTAGTTAACAACTTTTTCTGTTCCAACAACTTTCAAGAGGATGTTGATGCCTTATTTGCCTCTGATGACTTGGGCAGTGAACTCTTGAGTTTTGACAAAGACAAAAGCTTCAGTAGCCTTGTAAGTTTCACTCTTTTTTCTGGTTATAACAACAAGAGATCTTTTAAATTTATTTTTTCCAAAAGTGAAAAGAGCTTCGTTGTGAAACATTAATGCTTTGATGAATTTAAACGTTTATACATGGCATTAAGGGTGCCCCTTTATATCGCAGTGAAATGTTTACCACTTTTGGTTGAAGTAGAAATTGTAATCACACATTATGGGTCGTTCCCTTGAATAAACATCATACGCTAATTTCCAGTTCAATGGATCACTAAACGAGGTACAAATATAAGCATTCTGTCTAATGTTATCTCTTCAAAATCCCCTCCAGAACATGATCTGCGCAATCAAAATTACTAAAATTAATCCTAACCAAGATATTAACGTTTTTATTTAGCTCTAATTATGAAAATTTTGACTTTCCATATCAAAAGATAAACCAGAGTTCATGTGAATCTAATCGGTTTTGGCAGGCTTTTTTTTAATTAAAGAGTTTTTTTTCCTCCTTTTGTTGCACAAAGTTAATGAAAACCTGCAACAGCTGAGCCGAAGTGCAGAGATTGAGGTCGCTATATTTTCATACCTCAGAGATTGCTACGGAAACATTTAGTGTATGATATAGATTTTTTTTGTGAGTGAGGAGTTTAAATTTATGCATCTAAAACCGCTAACATCTTGGTTAGGAGTTACTCCCAATAATTTTTGTTGCACAAATCATGTTTTACATAAAATTTTGATGAGAAAACACATCACAGTACGAATTTGCACTTTGTCTTTATTACCTACGTGTGATGTATTAGGTACGTAAGATCTAAAAATTGAGTGATAAGAGTGAGAATAAAACCAAAACTAAAATTTAAAAAAGTCTTACAGTAGAATAAGTTTAATTCACCTCCTTTCTTCCAAAATTTTGGATAGGAACTTATGGTTTACCTCTCAAGTTCTCCTATCTAACTCTTGGTTTTGCAATTATTGGGTACCAGTGCTGATCCTCATAATAACCTCTATATTAAAAGCTTTTATTTGGTGACTGTTAAATTAACTTCCAGTTTTCTTTTTATAGATAAATGCTGATGATGATTTAGGAGAAATCATTCAAGGGCCAAAAGAGGACTCTAATCACAGTGATGTTGAAGTTGATGTCGAAGGTAACCTCCACAGAGGTTATTCCTTGAATAGCCTATTCATTTATTTTTAATCTCAATTAAATGTTTAATATCTGAAGTATGAAGGCTCAGATGTTTCTATCATTTACAGTGAAACTAAGTAATGACAAAAATTTTAATTTTTATCTCTGTGTATACACTGTTTATGTGAAAAGTCGAGGAATTTCGATCATTTTAGTGCGAGGAAACCTGGGAAAGCCATTAAATTTCCTCCACATTTGTAGAGCCCCTGTGGTTGACTGATATTAGCCAGGTGTTTTCAATGTATTGTGATTAAATATCACATTCAGTAACCTCACCCTTCATATTTTTTGTAGAAACATAAATACCTAGCCTGAGATTCTGAATGTCTCTAATAAAATTAACTAATTAACTAACTTAACCTAAAGAACCCAAAAAGAGTAGCTGCTGCATTGGAAGTATGAATTTTTTCATACTTCATACATCACCGACAGCAGTTCGTTGTCTTGTGCTCGCAGCTACTTGCCTTGCCTGTGGATACCTAGCCAGCATCTAAAGGTCTTATAAACTTTTGTCATTTTTATCTCTAAAGGTATATCCGATGATGAAGATGACGCAGTCTCAGCTCCCAAATGTGAAAAAACTGTCTATTTATGCAGTCAGTGTTCCACACCATTTGGCAGCATTGAAGAATGTAAAGAACATATGATAAAGGTAACTTTTCACCTACCATGTTTTGTAGCTCGATATTGTCCATCAAAATATCAGGAAGTGGAGGAACGATGATTTGTTGTGCATCATATGAATTTTAATTCATGAGTTAGCTGAAGCCTCTAATTTTGTCGAGTATCAAGTTCTAGCAATTAGAGGAACGAAAGTTTATTGAAAACTATAGCAGATAGACTAACAACTTGACCATCAACTGCACTGATTCATACTCTCCGCTAGGTCTTAAAATTTCTGGGTTTACCCTGGAGTGGAGAAACTATCCTATCAGCTATGTTGCATCCTGACTAATTGTTTCATCTTTTTGTTTGTATGAAATTTTTAACTAAAAAAGTTCAATGTCTTGGTGACAGAAGTCTGTTTTCCGCACGCCTTACAAGTACGTTCATTTTTTCTCCATGTACAGCCAGCCTTTTTTTCATACTTTTTGATGGTTGACGGATGAGTGTGCTCAGAAGAGAAATGGCACATTGTTTTAAATTTAAAAATGTTGAGGTATTCTTGAATGAAATGGATTAAAATTTAGTAGTATGTATTGCATTATCGAAGAAGTTTATGAGGCGGTGCATAATTTTACTCACTGGAATTTTCAGTCAATAATAACTGTTTCAACTGAAGGTGATTTTTGTCGTTAGAGTTTTTCTTTTATTTTTTATGCCAAAGTGACATTGTCTTGGTACCGTGGCGTAGGTGTTTCAACCAGAAGCGTTATTAAGTTTTCAATAAGCAAGGAAGAAACCTAGTATTTGAGCATGGAATCTTTTATCGTTTCGAAGAGTAAATGCATGAATGTTACCAATCTGAGTGCAAATGCGATTCTGAGGTTGTTGACCCAAGTTTCCTAAATTCACCCATTTTGTTATACCATTGAATCTTTTTTTATGTCTTGTGCATCTATTTTAATATCTAAATATATTTTATAGGACCATAAATTTGATCTTCTCATAAACTCTGTACCTGATGAGGACACCTCTCAAATAAATTCTTCTGAACTGGAAACAACCCCATCATTGACTCAGGACAGTGAAGAATTGAATGAGGCACCTGGAGTCCCGATGGCAAATGGTAACCCAACAGAAAATGACAGGATATCTTTAGGTATGTTGTTTACAGTAAACTTGGCTTTGTAAAATGATCGTGCTAAGTAAAGGGGTGGGTGCAAAATCGACAAAATTTCCCCCCTCATGGATGTTGACCAAATTTCAGTATGTCATTCCTCACTATGGGATACGCCTTTTCCCAAAATTTCACGGCCTGAAACGAATTTCTCTCCGCGTAGCAGCGTTGCCAAGTTGAAAACCGTCGAGTTCCATATCTTTTGAACGAAAAGAGATATTGAGATGCAGTTTGCGCTAAAATTCTCCAAAAATTGCGTTCTTTCGATATATGTACTCAATTTGATCGTTTAGGTAATTTAAGATTGCAATGATGCCATTTTTCACACTTTCTTAAGGGTCAATTTTTTTTCAACCCTAGTACATCATCAAATGCCGGATTCTCGATTCAAAAAAAAAACTGTTCATTGTATTATTCGTACTTTTCCATTTCTTTTGATATATTATAGCTCCCAGGGAAACGATTAGTAATGGAGATATGAGCAATCTAAGTTTACGCTCCGCGCGCGCCGACCGGAATCCGGGCGCCGCTCGCCGCTCTGAGTCGTCTGCACACTCCCTCTCTTAAGCTTCACGAGGTCATTCCTATGTATTTTTTTGCGTACTTTCCATTTCTGGCCTTTGAAAAGGGCTCCGATGAATTTTCAGGGGCCTCGCGGTCCATTGTTGCCATTTTTTGCTCGTATTTAGGGTTTTTTCCCTATTTTACTCACAATTCTACTGAAAAACTTAATTTAAATGGAAAACTGTGTGCGTTGAGGGAAAGAACGTAAAGAAGAAATAAAAATTCATGTAAAAATTTTTCCTTCGTTGCCAAATTTGCGAGAAAAATCGTACTAAAGAGCCAAATATTTGAAAAATTGGATAAATCCCCACACCAGGGCTTATGAAAGTGGGACATAGCTTTCATATTGACGTACTTACGTAACAGATCTTACCTATCTATACAACATATTAAAAAAGCATAGTTGTATTTGGATTCCCACGATCTGAAAATTGTCCGGGATGTCACCTTTTGCGGTCTTTTCTTATGTGTAAGGTAGATCTTTTGAATGTTTTTCGACCTTTAGTCATCCTCCGTAGGGGTGTATCGTATGTATTTTTGCTGTAATTTTCATTTTTGAAAAGAACGTAAAAAAGTACATCATTAACGTTCGTAAGGACTTATTCTTACGTTGCCAAATTTTCAAGAAAAATCGTCCTAAAGTGCCAAAATTGAATTAATTATGACGAAGATGTCTCTAGGAAAGTGAATTATGACTTCGACTTAATTTTAGAATTATAATTTTAAGTATGACTTAATGCTACGGGCCACGGGCCAGGATGCAAGGAATCCATTTCTGTCACCTCCGATAGAGGGCACATAAGCGTATGTGCCCTTTTTCCGGAATGCTCCTCAATTGTGGGCTTCTCTTCTCATGCAGCCTCTCTGCCTCTCATCTTGGGGAAGTGGCCCGTAGCATTAAGTCATACTTAAAATTATAATTCTAAAATTAAGTCGAAGTCATAATTCTTAGTTTCCAGAAAAATTTCCCCGTTTTTCTTTTTTTCTTAAAGAACAATTAACGCTCATTAGAAATGCTTCCAGGGTCACATTTTACTGTCTCTGATTCGAAAGAAGTGGAAAAAAGTCAAGATGGCATTCGGAAAAATATCACTGGTTTGAAGGAAATACCAGAATAAATTGTCTAATTCGCAAATCAATTGACAGGATGGAAAAAAGAGTACTTTCTTAAGATACTGCTGTTACACTGGATTTTCCTCATCTTGTAGTCACGGTTGAGAAAACTCAAACATGCAAAATTTTTGTCATTCTGACATTGTGAGACGTCGATGCAGAGAAAAATATGTTTCTCACAAACCAGTCAACGAACTTTAAAAACTAGGGGCTTTTTAGGAAACTTAAAGTTTGACTGCCATAGCTGCTTCAAAAACTGAAAAGTACGATAATGGTCATGTAAGACAAATGGAAGCAAAAGGAATAATACTGCTTAAATTATTGAAATACACCGTCTACACAGTCTAGAGAATCCCTCTTGTTCATGTCTATTACGTAAGACTTGAATACTCTAGATTTAAGGATGCATAATTAGAATTTGAGTTTAATAAATGCTGATAAGCAATGAGCATGAATGTCAGATGATGCAAGCTGACTTTCAGCTCTTCAGTGACAAGGAGTGAGAATCTGTTATTAATCATTAGAGGAGTGGATTTCATAGCTGAAGCCAATATTTTTAGAAAATGCTTTCACCCTTCCAGACAGCAGCGGTAGACAAGAAAGCGAGAAACAAGACTCCTGCACGCATACCCCAAATGACGAGACAGAGTCGCAGCCACAGGCACTAGCTAATGATGCATCATTGCAAAGTACAGAGGAGAGCATTGAACCTGAACCTGAAGCGGAACCAACAGGCTCAGGACCTGAAGTTGAATTCTTTAAGGACCCTGATTATGTCTCTAAATCCTTCAGGTATGTTTTTCAACCAATTCTTGAAATATTTCCATCAAACTAATGTCAAGTGACATGAATGAGCTGTCCACGCACACATTGTGATCATCTTACATCTTCATAAAAAAACGCAAGTGGAAACTTCTACAAATTCACCTTTTAGCCCTGCTTTTCTCAACATTGGCACCCAGAAATCTTTATTTTGTGCCCTGGGGGATGTAAAGAACATAATTTTAAATGAAAAGAAAAGTTAACCAGAGTCATAATTTTTGTTTTCTGTGCAGGATCATTCACAGAGACTTTTCGCCTTTTGTTAAACAAGATGTGAATGCCAAAACTTTATTTCCTTTTACATCATCCTGTAATGTACTTTAAAAATTCTCTATCACCAAATTTAATTAACTAATAATACTTAAAATTATTTGTTTTTTATTTTTTCTAGGTGTGATTTTCTAGGTTGCTGTGTTCGGTTCACTTCTCACAAAGGCTGTGTTATGCACCAAGACTGCCATGAAGTTAATAGTAAAATGTATGTATGTTCACAAGAAAACTGTGATGAAAAATTTTCAAATTGGAAGCGATGCAGTCTACACCTGTGGAAAGCTCATCAAATTGATATTGATCTCTACACTTGCCCGGTAAATATGATGTATATCCGTATTTAGAGCCACTTCTAGAAAAGCAACCTATCTTACTCGGGGATAATCTCCAGATAGGTAGACCCTTTGTGCGTTAATGCTTCCAACTTATCATGCCAAAGAAAACTAATTTTTTTATTATTATTATTATTATTATTAAATTCTGCATCTATGATGACAACGCATGAAAATCGGAGTACAGGCTGTAAATATTTTTTTTCTTTCTTTTTCTTCATAAAAGAAAGAGGTGAGCACTCAACCCTACTAGGGTGTCTACCAATCTGGAATTTCTGGAAAATCTGGAAATAGCACTGATTTGTTACGGGCGGTCCAGAAGTTCTGAAAAAGTGCAGAAATTCGGCAAGAAGGTCCAGATTTTTTCCTTCGTACCACATGTGTTTTTTAAGAAAGCCTGGAAAGTATGCAATTCCCTGCGCATTGATTTTAAAGTCAGTTGATCTTCAAGCCACCCATGAAATTTTGTGTGTACTTCATTTTTGTCGTAATTCGACAGAGAGTTTTAAATTTTCAAAATTTTTCGAATTTTGTGAAATGAAGGTACTATAAAAGTACTAAATTTCTCTGTTGAGGAGGTACTGAATTTTTTGGAAATGCACGATTGAATGTAATTTGGAATGTATGATGAAATGATTTTTGGCCAGTCTTTTTTAGTAGACACCCTGTATAATGTACTGGTAACATAATTAAACAGCCTTTATATATTTTATCTGAATTTCCATGTTCAAAAAATAAAAAAATAAAAAAAAATTAAAAAAGGTAAGTGTTACAAATGACTTGTTACAAAATTTGTTTTTATCAAATATTTATTTATTTATTTTTTTTTCACAGGTGTGTTCAGAGTACAAAACATGGTCTCGATACTCTCTAAGGACGCATGTCAAAATTCATTTGGCAGACAAAGGCTATCCCTGTGACAAGTGTGAGAAAAAGTTTAAGCAAAAATCACAGCTAGTAAATCATCTTGCTGGTGTCCATTCCAAGAAAAGCTCAAAAGAAAACTCTAGTACAGATGATGCCAATAAATGGTAAAAACATTGATCAAACCCTCTATATCATCCAATTAACTAGTTTCAACATAGTGCACAGTTCCATTGATTAAAAATTAACAATTGACCTTTACTTAGTATGAGTTAGTAAGATAAGTCCTGTAAAGTGACATGTGATCATATGGAAAGTATACACCCTAGGAATAAGAATCTTCAGGGGTGCAGAAAGTCCCGTAGGGTTGTCTGTTTCTCACCACCTAGTGTTTTTGCCTCATGGACAACACTTAAAAACTCTCTAATTTTCATAGCCTCTTTTCGGAAGCTGTGACTTTGCGTCACATCTCAAAAGTGGCATTGTGTCCTGAGATTTTCCTCAGATTTGTCGCAATCCTTGCAAATAGCAAGATCCGGCACTGTAGTTAATGGGACAAGGTTTAATTTTTCTCACTTATGGAACTTCGTTCACTGAATAGTAGCAAGATCTTTTTGGTGTTCAGCCACTTTTATGAATAATATTTTACTTTCCATTTTTTTTTACATCTTAGTCTATGAAAATGGTTAGGAACTCTACCAAGTATCTTTTATTTTACCTTGTTGAGCCAAAAGCAGGAGCCCATAGTTTTGTCTGAAAACACTATTCAAGATTGTGCCAATTACTTTAGCTCTAATCAAATGAGTCCTGTCGTATTTTCATTATCAATTGAATATTAATCAGAAGACTTTTGATTATCTTATGCGATTATTCAATGTGATTATCTTCTTTTATAGGTACACTAAAAAAGTCTGTAAAATATGCTCAAAAACTTATGCTGATTCAAAGTGTTTGAAGAAGCATATTCAGGCAGTTCACCGCAAGATGAAACCGTACGTTTGCAATATTTGTGGTCACCAATCTGCCAAGAAAGCCATGATGCAAATTCACATTCGATCTCACACAGGAGAGAAACCATATGCGTGCACTGTAGAAGGCTGCTCGTACAGGACAGGTCACTATGTTTTTATGCATTGTTGGCAATCCCTTTTAACAGAGTGTCTACAGGTCTGGAAAACTGTGCATTGTCAGGGAATTTCATCAGGTCCCGGAAATCAGAAAAGAGTCAGAGAATTTTCTGAAAAAAACTGAAAATTTGGGAAATTTTGAAATTTAAGTAAATACCAGCGCTCTCCACCCAATCCAATTGAGCTTCAGTTTGGTTCAGAGCTCAGTGTTCGATGTTCGCTGTTAAATTCTGAAAAGTGAATAGCGGAATAACTTTCAATCAAAACTTGAAATTTTGGTCAATTGAATGATTGATTCTTGAAATAAAAGATTCTTAAGCCTCCGTCATTTGTGGTGAAATTAATACCAAAATTCTCTCCTTTTCAGTTCAATGCTTGCAACTTGTCAATGTGAAAAATCAGGGAATTTAGCAAAGACAAACCGCACATCTTTTGATTTCTCAGAGGGGGAGTCAACATTAGTTTAAAAATTTAATTTTAAATACAGGAGAGTTTTTGTGATACTATTTTTATGCGAGCACTCCAGAATTCCAGTAGTACTTCCAGAGTATTCCAGTCAAAGAAAAACCTGGAGAAGTCAAGGAATTTCTTCCAATTGGGCCTGTAGACAGCTTGTTCAAAGAATTATTTTGAAGGAAAAGAACCTCAACTCGGATATTTTTCAGTTAATGAGAGTGGGAAGACTTCGGTGTAAAATTTTAAAGATTGCCACGGATTCGAATGGTTTTAAGCAGGAAGTAACAAAGTAGGTCTTATCTCCAGCTTCAAAACAAGAATGCAGTGTTGCTTGTCTTGAAAAAAAAAAAAAACACGGAACATTAATAAATCTTCCATCGTTCATAATTCATTGTGATCATTGCTGTATCAGTTTTATGACTAGTACCATACAAATATGTGTTCAGAGAAAAGGACAATGGAACAGCACAATTGTAATTGTGCGTCCTTTGTAGCAAGCAGCAGCTGCTATTTTAGCTGCATACATATTTTAATGATTATGAGTCTATTGCTGAACTAATGACGAAAAAATTTGCCATAAATCAGAGAAAATCAAAAGAAATAACTATCTCCAAACATTGGAGAGCACTAGGGACTTTCATCTTAAAAAAAAAACACTGAAATGTTTCTCTGTAATTAAGTTAAGCTAATAAATATTCATGACTATCCAAATAAAGTTTTTTGAAAATCTAAGCTTAGAAAATTGAGAACTGCGGTTAATCTAAACCACAACAAACCCTATTTCCATAGTAATTATTGATGAAGATTTTCTTGTTTTCAGCAACTGTATTTTTAGCAGGTTTTTTAACCACCAGCAGAAACATTATAGTGATCGTTGATGAAAATTTTAGGAATTTCTATCGAATTAATTTTCTTAAAATTGATGTCCTTGCACTAAACTAATTTATTTTAATTTTTCCACAGGTGATCATAACAGTCTCCGGCGCCATTTGATGGGCCATACAGGAAATAAGCCATATCGGTGTTTGTATTGCCCTTTTGCTTGCATCCAGACAATTAATTTGAAAAGGCATATTGCCGCCAAGCACAGTCAAGCGCAGGACTGTGTTTCATTTTGCACTCTCTGCCCATTTTCAACAGTTAACCCTAATTTGTTCAAAAGCCATATGAATGACCACTCCAAAGGTTTAATTGAAGGTGAGGAAAAACTTTTTCTGGCAAGTTTTAACATGTGTTTTCTATGAGATCACTAACTCACATTAATCACTTGAAAGCAAAGGCTTGATCTTTCAGTCAAAGAGTTTATGTGGTTTTTGTTGATAAATGTCCATTGTTCTGAGGATGTTTCCTTGTTTTTTTGAAAGATGAACTTAGGTATATTTATCGTTTTACATCTAATTGAAAATGACAGAATCTTGCAAGTAAATAATATTCTTCTAACATTTTCAATTACAAAAACAAACGACAAAATAAATAAATAAATCAGCTCTTCTCAACTTTATGTAATCTAAAAGATAGAGAGATGAAGCACCTCTCAATGTTTTAAGCGCATTTCATTTTTTGAGCGCTGTCATTGTTAACAATTCCTTTGGCAATTAAAAAATTCTGTAGGAAGGTCCGTCACCTTAAGCCTATCAATAAATCAAGAATCCCATATCTTTTAGACTGTAAGTTGGAGATGTAGCCATCGTGCGTTAAAATTCAGAAAACTGGAAATCTCAATACAGAAGGAAAAAGCTTATTTGAACACAATTTTCCCTTAGTTGGCCACATCTCCAACCTACTATCTATACAACTCATGCGTCAATCAGTTTGTGAATCCCATGTTTTGTTCGGAAAAAAACTAGAATACATTAGACCCTCATGTGATAAAAAATTGGATCAAAATTTTATCAAATTTAAACTTCTTAGTCCAGTCTCCAATTTTGTTGCATTTAGTTCCACACTCTTTTATGAACAAAATTGAGAATAAAATTTGATACATGAAAATCAGATTGAAGAGTTAGAACTCCGCCTTGCACTATTTTGTTCTCCAAGAGTCATGCTTTCTCACCTGACATCTTATCCTTTTTTCACTGATCTTGCAGGAAATTCACAAACCGTCACCCTAGAAGCTTCACCCATCCGCACCATGCCCACTGATGATGAAGACACGACCAACTGTTTCCCTAGCGATGAAGGTATTGTCACGGGTGGCATCACAATTCCTGCTGATCCCAACCAAGGACCAATCGTGCTTCTGCCTCCCAACTGTAACTCAGAGTTTGAAACAGATGCACTGATTGATGCCATGAACACGTGACTGGTTCTCAATCCTTTGCTTCCGTGCTAACTTAGTTAGTCTGTTCAGTGGCCTTTGTTATGTTTTTTTTATTTCCTTAATATGAAAGTTGACTTCACATAATTTGGGTTCCTATGTGAATGAAAGCAGGCTTTTTTTTTTCTTTTGGATCGACAATGAACCACATGTCGGTGCCATGAAATTTTTTTTTGATGGTTGAATTCAATTGTTAACCAAAGATTATTGAAGGATATCTGTGTGCCAAGTTTTTACTTCTAATATTTATGCAAGAAATCACTCAATAGGAAACACGAAGGAGTGGTGGATGATTTCTATCTTTGACAAGAATGTTTTTATTTAAGCATTTCAAAAATTGCCTCGCATTTAAATTTCTGCTTATTATCAAGTACTGTTTTAAAGGAATACCTCCTATAATATATACCCTGCATTTTTACAAAGAATACTAAGTCTCAGCTATCTTTCAAAGCCAATGAAAAAGAAAAGTTGGTTGAATATTTACCCACAGATATTGTCTTCCTTGAAACTATTGGTAAGAAAAAATGCTCATAGTTTCTATGTGGTTGGCAGCCCTCGTCACCTGTCATAGCGCTAGCCACCTCCCTCTCTGATTGATTGTCAGCGCAGCTGAGCAATATCCGTCTGGGTCTGGGCCTGGGTCAAGCCGTGAAATTTTGTAGGATTTGTGGTAAAATCTGAATTACTTTGAGTTGGGGTTTTACCTTTTATTTGCAGGAATTATAAACGGAGATACGGAAAAAGATATAAAAACGGAAAAATAAACGGAATTTAGCGAGACGAGATGATTGCAAGAACAGAGATCGATCAAAACTAAGAATTTTTGTAACTAAGGCGACGACCAAGGGGGGACCCGCTTCATTTTGCCCCCCCCCTGAACTTCTCCGAAGTTCTGAGTTAGAGCTGCTCCTCGTGGGGTCCTCGGAAAATTGTAACTTCATCGAAGATTGCCTTTTCGAAGCAGTCCAGAAGTCGATTTCTCCTTAACATATTACGACATAGTGGGCATCTTCATCTGGAGTTTTGCCTTTGGCACACTGAGCACTGGACGTGGTCCAGTTTACAAGCCCAGAACAGGGCCGTGATTGTTTTCTGGCAACTAATGCATGTAACGATTTCTAAGAATAGACCAATGACTCTTTCCCGTGTCGACATCTGCAAGGTCAACCAGAAAAATAGAAGCGGATTAGGAAAAGGGCGGAAACGAACCTGATTTTCTGGGAGTAAACGGGAGAAAAGGCCCTAGGCCTTCTTTTAATTGATTTAGTGGTTTTTCTAACCGATCTAGCAACAAATATCTCGTTGCTTCTTCGATGACAGTCATCAAGCATCACAAAACGGTGAATTTAAACCGCATGATGACAATTTTAATAATAAAATGTGACATCGTCCCAACTTTTAGGGGGATCGTGTTTGGGCACCTGTTGAGCTACCTTCTCCTGAATTTCTGTGTTACTAGGGATGTAAGCCAGTTTGTTAGTAATGGCCTCCTCCAACTGCTTTTGACTCGGGATGTCACTAAGATGGAGGCTCAGGCTATTTAGTTTGGAGTCCAGCCCTAGGAGATTGAGGGACTCCTCATCTTTATCAATTAGTTTATTTAGTTTGTCATTTATGACACCCATACTTGCAGTGAGGCTTTCGAGTAGGATATCTGCTGTTTCTGCGATGTTCCCTTCTGAGAGTTTTGGTATTTATTTTGTTAAGCTGATTGTCCACGTATTTACATATGTCTATGTTAAGAGGGTCATTTATCCGTTTGATTTCGGAACTTACTGACGAGCCCGGACTTTCAGGAATTTGTTTCAAGTTTCTAGTTTTTGGAGGTCATTTAATGCCAGGAGGTGAGTTGTCAGTGCTAGTCGTGGAGGAATTGCTCGAGTTAGTTGCGTGTGTCCTGGTTCATAGTGATGATTTAACGGTATTAAAGGTTGGTGATTTTGTGATCGATTTTGTGGTCGGTTTTGTGACTAGTCTTGTGACCCGAACGGTCGGTGGTGAGTGAAACATGACGAATTAAGTTGGTTCACGCGCGGAGCGATGTGCGCTAAGGCGCAGCGACAAAAGAGCGAGCGATGAGCGCCTGAGCGCACCGCTACACGTCGGCGGGATTTGGCTTTCCATAAAATTCCACCATCATTCTAGGTCGTGCAGAGGGAGTCTGACATTCGGAATTTTGAGGAGACTGTGTTGAGGGAGGGGAAGTTGATGATGAGACAGAAATTTGGGACTGGTTGACAGGAAGGTAGAAGTCCAGTTTACACACCAAGGAATGTTGGTTTTACAGTTTATGCCAACAAAATAAAACAAATAATGATTTAAAATCACACTTTAATGAAACAAATAATGATTTAAAATCACACTTTAATCAAACAAATAACGATTTAAAATTGTACTTTAATAAAAAAAATAATGATTTAAAATCACACTTAAAACGATTGTTATGACACTGAAGTCACGAAGGTTTTAAACACATTTAAAAATTCAAAATTGGGTATTTAACATTTCACGTTGTGCGGCCATGTTGTACCTGGTGGCACCTGTTTGGCTCTGAGCTTCATGCAAGATTCCTGAACTTTCACTTTCGTGGATTTTGTCGATCTCGATCACTACCTCAGCGGTATGTGATGTGGTAGCATATGAACAGTCAACACAAATATATAACAACTAGGGGGCTCCGCCACTCAACATCATATCAATCTCTGTCAGTGGTTTTCTCTTCCGTTTCTGTTTAAAAAGCAAGACGTCATAATGATCAACGTCGCCATCACCTAAGAATAGAAAATTCCATATCTCTTCGCGGTCACCAAATTAATTGCAAGAAGTCTAATTCTCTAAACAGACGCAGAGTTACAAATAAGGATACAATTTTGTGGCCGTAACTAATTCTACGTGTCCACCATATTTTCCATTTTTACTCCTGTGAGTTTTATAATCTGATACATCAAAAATTTCAACACCATCTGATCTATTACCCACTATAAACGCTTTATATTCTCCCCAATTCAAGGAAACCTCATGAACAATTTGAGTTCTAATTTCTGTTAAAGTTTCTCAGTCAATCCCAACACAATCCTATGGCGCTACCTAGCGGTGCTTTACCGAACTACTTTTCTTTCTAGAATGTTCTCTTGTCGTTGTTGAATCGTCGCCATTGCTAAGTCAATATAAGTCATGTTCGCCTTTATAAGATTACTTTTTCTCTCAATAAAAGTTTATCAACTCTAAATCGAGTTGTGTTATTTCGAAAGTTTAATAGGTTTTAATTCAGTGGAAAGGTTTTGAATCTTTGTTACGAATTCCATTACACTTCCGTCGAACTTAGCATTAAAAAATTGCTGCTGTAGTAGATGAACACTTACGTTCGATTGGCGCTCATAAATGTTGACCAACTTGGCCCACATTTCACTCGCAGAATTGCACGATAAGATATGAGACAAAGGACCTTTCTCCATTCTAGTGACTAAAATTTCTTGGGCTCGAGCATCTTTCAACTTAAACATTTTAGCATCTTTCAATGCTTGAGTGACAGCTTCTCTAGAGGCTGCTACAGCTTCCGCCGTTCCAGTTAGTACCTCTTCCGGCACTACCGGCATTTTACAATCCTATGGCGCTACCTAGCGGTGCTTTACCGAACTACTTTTCTTTCTAGAATGTTCTCTTGTCGTTGTTGAATCGTCGCCATTGCTAAGTCAATATAAGTCATGTTCGCCTTTATAAGATTACTTTTTCTCTCAATAAAAGTTTATCAACTCTAAATCGAGTGGTGTTATTTCGAAAGTTTAATAATTTCAGCATGTTGCTCCTCTGTAGCGTGTGAAAAATAAGATATGCATCGAAAGAAGTAATTGCCTTTTCCATTGATCCGTTTTGTAGTTATTTCCGAATGTTTCAACATTTTGAGAAGAGAAAAGAAATATCCTTATCAAATAAATCAAATAAACACATGGATGTTTATTTTGGTTTTTTCAAGGGAAAAAACCAAAATTCAAATTATTCAGCTGTTTACTGTTTAAATGTTGAAAATGAAATATCTATTGTAATAACAGCTGGTTGAAACCTATAAATTAGAGCCGTAAGATAAAGGAAAATTAAATAACGTCCTCTGAAACGACAAACCTAGCCAAAACAATTAGTGGTGATAGCCTGCAACTGAAAACTCTCGCTCTAAAGAAGCAGAAGAGCCTTGAATAATCAAGTATTTTTTCATTATGGGGTATAAATCCGGATATTACATGGTTGAAGCCTTCATGAGAACTGAAAAATTAACAACTTCTAGTCTAAAGAAATGAAAAGAAAAGATGAAAACTTAGTGATAACAAACTGGAATATATCCTTTCTTGTATGACTCCTTTAAATCACGACACATTCAAGAGAAATCGGGTCCAAAAAGTCCAAAAAAACTCACAAGTATTACTTTGGTCCAGCAGGGTCTAGAGAATAGCATTCAATTTCCATGCTTTGAAGAAATTTTAAACTGAAAATTACTGATGACTTTCCTTGTATGACTACCTAGGATCACTCATGAGCACGACTTAATGAAGAGAAATTGGGCCCAAACAACCCAAAAAAACTTGTATCACTTCGGTCAAGAACGGTCTGGAGAGCATGCAATAACGATGCCTTGAAAAAATTCAGGCTGGAAACTACCAGGACTTCAGTTCATTTCTTTACAGTATCAACGGGTCATGGAGATACATTAGTAAGAGAATATTACAAAAACAATTTAATGCAAAACATATTTCAGTAATTAAAAGCAAAACGTATTTAAGTAATTTAACGCAAAACGTATTTAAGTATTTCAACGCAATTAATCAACACAAAACGTTTACTTCACATGAAAACACACTGAAATTATTAGTATCACGGTAGTTAGGTACGTCATAGTAGGTAGCTGTGTCTCGATGGCTGATGTATACACTGATCTCTATCAAATAATTCGGGTTTAGAAGAATCGGATATTGCATCAATGTCAAATCTGCATGAGATTTTGTAGAGAAAAACTGAGTTTTTTTTTTTTTTCAACATCTCCTACCACCGAAGGCAAAAAACAGGTATCTTTGCAAGGGATTAACATACCTGCACACCTGTAAAATTATTTAAAATGAGTCTTTACATATTTCCTTCGAACACTGCTTGAGGGCACTTTGTAGAATTGAAAATGTTGGCTAAATTTTTTCCGGTGAAATTTAACAGCAATCTTCTTTCGCTCATTTCTAACCTCACCAACAAGTGTGTGGCACTCCGCTGAAAGATAAAAGTTGGCGAGTTCTATGCTGACACTAACAACCAATCAGAGAGAAAGGTGGCTGGCACCATGACAGGAAACAAGTGCTGCCAACCACACAGTTTCTACCATGACAAGTTTCAAAATTCGGCCAAATAAATTCCACTATTTCTAATTTGAGTGCTGTCTCCTATAAAATCTAAAAAGTATGTTCAAAAGCATTATGAGATTTCTTAGGAGCAGTCTCCGAGTCAATTCATTCTTTTGAAAAAGTACAGTAATCTTGTTCTTTGAACACCTGCTCTCTCAGAGATGACAATCAATTACTATGAATACTTAGAGAAAAAAGCCTGATTTTTGTCCTTATATTTAATTACAAGTTGTCTGTGATATGTATAATTTTATCCAATAAAATAATTGTCTTTTAGTATCATTCTCTAATCCTTGTGTACCAATTTTTTCTCAATACTTGTCTCTATATAAAGATTTCAAGTTAAAACTTGGAGCAGGGGTATCAAAATGTAACTGTATATTCTTGCTATGACACCAATAAATCAATGTACTTCGAACAACAGATCTTCGGAACCAAGAAAAAATTGCCAATTATATTCATACTGAGGTAAAAACGTTTAATTGTGAGAGTACAAAAGGTTTAAACAAAACAATCAATGAAAAAATATACACATAGATAACACAATATCACTATGAAACTGATAATATACAATCTCAATTTTTTAGCTCATCAGATTTTAGAGCAGCATTTTGAACTAAACTTAGCATTGTTTTATACAACACAAGATTCCAGAAAAAAATTCTCTCTCATATGCAATGTTAAGGGAAACATTATTAGGGGGCACTTCGTTCGTTATCATATCAATCCAAAACGACAAAAAGTGCACCTTATCACACATTTTTTGGGACGTTTGCGATGATGGGCTTGGGTCTTACATTAAACAGTAGTTTCTTTTTAATAATTGCTTCAACTATATACTCAGTCTCATATTCGTCTTCAGCATTTGACTTCACTTTCCGGACCTTCTTCATGATGGCAAATGGTTTCTGCAGTTTGACACTTTTCCCATGCAGGATGTGGTGACCAATTATCAAAATAGGTGTATTGTTTTTCTGAAATCAGAATATTTATTACTCAGTTATGATCATAAGTTCAGATTGCTTGGGGGTACAGGGTTAAGCATGGATCCGAAATAAATAAAAAAATTGTATCCTTCATTGAGGGGTTTAAGAGTTTTGATACAAAAGGATTATTGATGGAAGTGAGAGGAGCATATTTTCAGGAAGAGCCATGAACTCTGCAAGCTCCATTTCAGAAGAGCTCAGCCATCCTGGGCTACAAGGGGCTGTTCGGGGCCCAAAAATAGCTGAACTTTGGGGACAGCTGTAGATTGAAATGACTGAGAGCTTTGTTTGTTTTACATAAGCAAAAAATATTGTATGTGATTACGGTATAAAGTTGGCAACTACCCCTCTCTCATCTACTGCTATTTTTCGGTCCTGAGCAGCATACGTGAGGCTCAGAAACAATCCAGTATCTTTGAAAAGAACTTCAAGTCGCTTCAGTAATCTTTATAAATAAAATCGTTGGGGGTTTTAGTGTGACACTTATTACTGGAGTTCTACCAAATCAAATTCGATGATGTTTGATACCGGTGAATCCTCTCGACTTTTTGATGCCTGCAAAACTGTCAAACTTCTAAATTTTATCCTTTTTTGCCAGTAATGCTCTTAAAACCAAATCCATACACCCCTCTGACCTTAATTTGCCAAAGGGGTGACATCCTATTGCCTACTTGGAGCGACCTACTGGGGCGATTTTCACAATTGTTGGAGCAACTGAGAGATTTTAACAATGCTTTTTAATCTCTAAAAGAGCAATGTGTAAATTTTGCAAATGACGACCTATTGAGGCTATGTTATTTGACTTGCACATTTTTCATCTCTTTAAAGGCATTGGTGCCCTCCTTTTTTTTGCTCCTCTTTTTGACTGAAAGCGATCTTATTAGTTCACTGGCTGTTTGGTATTACATAGATTACTTTCCTAGGATGTACCTTCAAGCTGTGCTAGGTTTTTCAATTATTTCACCCACCAGTGTATTGCCTGGTTCATAATTGGCATTCTGTGTCAATCAGGCATAAGGGAGTTCTTAGAAGCATTGATTAGTCTTTCATTCAGCTTTAAAATTTTCTTAATGCACAGCAGTCAAAAGTACCATTTAAGAAAACTTATTTTAAAATTCAGAGCATTTTTCTAATCAGCTCAATTTAAAAAAAAAAAAATCTCCCCTCAAATTTGCTTACTCAACGCTTAACAGTGATGCCAAGCGTACGGATTTATCCGAGCCGCGCGGACATTCCCTATACCGACATGGACCGCGTACGGACCAAAACCTTACGAAAAAACGCTTCCCTATCTTGTTTAGTCCGTACGCGTGACATCACAGAATGACGCTCGGCCAATAGCAGCATGGAGAGCATACGAATCTCGCACACGGAGCATCCGGGAACACTGACGCTTAAGCTCAGGGCTTTAAGCTCATGCATTTACTGCACCTCTTGCTTCTGCATCGTACAATAGAGAAAACAATGGATAACATAGACGAATAATCGGTCAAAAATCGCCAACAAATTTCTGGAATTAGTTGAGAACCATGCTTACATCTTTACTGAAGTGGAGATCACCGACAAACTGACTGAATAAAGAACCACCAGTTCTAGATTCCAGATCTCCTTGAACTTCGATGATTGAAAAATCATTCAGCTTTTCATCTCTGTAAAAATAAAAATACACACCTACTTAGGAGCCTGAGAGAAATATTGAGTGAAAGGTTTGGTGCTAGTAAAGAGCGATCTATATTTAAACTACATAGACTCAGTTTCAAGTAAGTTTTCCTTTTTCATTTGTATGCACCAGTATTTTGACGATACATATCAATATTCAACATGCAAAATGACATATTTTTGTTTGCGTATTCCTCCTATACTTAATTTTACCTTAGGATAACTAATCAACATATTGTCATGAAATCTTTGTCCATTTTTCTTTTCTATTAACAGCTTAAAATCTGTATATGTTTCAAGCTAAGTTGGCCTGTCCCTTTTTGAATAAAATGAATAGGGACAGAAATGTTGTTACGCTGCAGTGGAGATACAAGGCTTTGCACTTTGGCCATCGGTATGGTTAAACAAATAGGAAAGGTCGATTCGTCTAAACAAAAGTTTACCCATTCAGTTTGCTGGGAATTTTAGCGTTTGATTTGAATGGGGGATGTGCCTGTCACTCTATGGTATTCTAAATATTTTTTTTTTCATTTATGTACAGTACAGAGTGAGAGATAAAGTTATCAACCTTTCAAATTAGTGCTCTTCGAATAACAAAAGGGAAGAGTCACTTCCGAGGACATGATTGTGAATTTTATTCTGCGCATACGTACTTACGTTTTAACGATTATTGTCATTTTTAGGAAAACCTGAAATTGGCCAAAAAGTTAGAAAAAGCTACCAGTTTTTAATTGACGTAAAGAAAAGGCGGGCTATCTATCTTTGGAAGAAAGGAGGCAGCAACATCCTCATCGATCATTAGAGGCAATTGGTGGCAATACTGGAAGAAATATTTTTTGACGTTGAGGATACTTAGGCACGTAATGCAGGCAAATTAACTAAGGATCTTCAGAGACGATTTTCAAACTTTTTTCACAATAACTACGAAAAAGAAAAGTTAAACTAAATCAATCACGATGAGAAATGTTAGAGGTTGGAATTTTGTATTTGGATGGGTTTTTGTTTTTTAGAGTGCAACAACATTAAAACACCAAAATACATCTTGAAAAGATTTTGACCCCTGAACTCCTGAAGGAAACCTTCTTTTTGAACATTGAAAAAATTCTTAAACTTAGTATGCGCGTAGCTATTATTTTCTCATGAAATTGTTGCACTTTTTATCACATCCATCGCTAATTACTTGGACGAATTTTCAAAGGTTTTCATGAACAGTTGGCGAACTTGTAAAACGTGAGTTTTGCCGGTGCTGTTTTGTGAAATTTTTGGACGCCATCTTGTTTGTATTTGTTTGTACAAATCGTTCTTTGCTTCTCACCGTGGTAATTAATGTAAATTGTTCGTCATTTCGGATAATTACGCGTAATTCAAGTGTGTTAATTTGTGAAATGTTAAACCGTAGCATGCGATTGTACCCCAGATTTCAGGCTCTCCCAAAGTTGTTATTACAGTTGATTTGCCGTTTTAATTATACTGATAAAGAGCGAGAGTGGCGAGTGATGGTATTATCTTTTTCAATCTTATTCGGAATACCTGTCAGATAATACCGCAGTCTTGTAATAATATATCTCATTTTCTCCTCTAAGAAGCCCCTCAGATGCTAAGAAAATTTCAATCATCAGTGCCTCAATCTGTCTATTTTAAAGAGCAATTTAGTGAAAGAGTGGTTGACATATGATATTATGGGTGTACAGCATGTATTCTCATCATTATCACCTCTCAGAGAAAGCATTTTTGTGTAGTGTTTCGTTACTATTCTAATAGTGTTGCAGTCTGCCTGTTGAAAGATCATTGCGTGCTACCTGATAAATTGCAGATAGTTCCTGCTTTATCACAAGCTAAGGTATGTATTTGTAGCGTTACCTAACCTCACTTTCCAGTATCATCTTATTCAAAGACTTGAAAAAGGTTTCCTTTTTGTGATCGATAGATCCACTGGTAATACTCCGCAGGTTGTCATTTCAGATCACAGTTGCCTCTAATCAGTCGTGTCGTTTGTTGTCACTATTTTTATTTTAAGGTTAGGTTTCACCACTGATGGATTCTTCCGAAAGGCATTTCGGTACGCTTCATCACTGTTACATGCCTTTACAAGAAGAAACCATCTCTATTGATTTGTCTAATATAGTAGAAGATGTATCTTTTTACTCATACAGGAATGCTCTAACCTGATCGCTACTCTCTAAGTCAAGGAATCAGGTGTATGCAGAAGGAGTATATCTGCTTCTACGTCCCTGTGTGGAGAAACTTTTTTGGTATAGTTACCTTTAATTACAATGCTGTTTCCTTGACTCAGTTGGTGTCTAGCCCTAACTCCTATCGTATGTAATGTCTTTCCAATTTGTGCAGAAATTCAAGGGAAGCATCCTCTATTTTTCTTCCACCAAATCCATCTACCATTTACATCATATTGAATAATTTTATGTTACTTTTCTGTTGCAGATTGCGTGCTTCGGTAAAGGTAAGATGCACAAATTTTTGGAACCAGAAGACACACTGGCAAGAGATGAATCTATTACCTTTTAAACTTCTTTCAACTTTTTAAAGTCTTTCAAAACAGAGATCGCAGGCTAATTATTGAAAATCTACAGGATTTAGTGGCTTTGTCATTCTATATAATATTGAACTCTTGGTTCAAACCAAAACAAACTAATGTAACCTCATGTGCTAATGCTTCATGAGTACCTTGTGTTGATTTATTAGAATTTAGTCATTGACTGGTCATAAATTAAATGACTCATTAATTACAAGAACTTTTGATCGTAAGAAACACTTACATGCATTTTACCACTATGGTACAAAGGGCTAAAATGGCGCGAATCAGAAACAAGTTTCTGTGTTTACACTTGAATCAAGGGTTCGATATTACACCGATTAACATAGCCACTCAATCAGTCTGTAGGACATCCAATTGCGATGGAATGCAAGACCACTAAGGTAGGTCTATGGTCTACGCCTTGTCTTGTCGTGCTGACATAGCTCCAATAATCAGGCTGCTGATAGCCAGCTTTCAAAGTATTTGTCAGAGAGCTGGGAGAATTTTCTCGCAACTTGTGCAAGTTTAGCTTGTAGTCACAGAGAACTTCCGTGCGATTCTGGATTTTAATGCTCCTTGGATGTGCTGCACCTACTCGACAAGAAATGAATAAGGGGTGGAAGCCACACCCAAGTCCTGCAAGATAGGTACTTACCTAGGAAGCCAACCACAAGTGCTTCTTTCCTCCCTCTTGATTGCGATGTGCCATAAGACAAGGTACAAATTCAAGCATTCTGATAAATATTTATGCTTCAAAATTTCTTGTCAAAGACGATTTGTGCAACAAAAATTACTGAATCAACTCCTTACCAAGATATTAATGTTTATATTGTGCACTGGTCACAAAAGTTTTGAATTTCCTTCCAACAAGAAATAGCACAGTCTACGTGAATCAAATTGCAGATTTCAACGATTTTAGCATGCTTCTCAGTAAACACCAAGGAGTGTTCCTTTCCTGCTCTGTGTTTTTCAAACTGTAAACAACACACAATTACTGAGCTGAAGTGCTGACATTAATATAGTCCTGCAAAGACTGTCATGGTAACATGATTTTTAATGAGCAGGATGTTTGAATTTATGCACGAAAAGACGTAAATATCATGGTTCGCAGTTACTTTCAACAATTCTCTTTGCAAAAATTGTGTGCTGCTTGAAAATGTGATGAGTAAACTTACATCATAATGCTTGAATTTGCACCTTGTCCAACAGTCCATTCAGTAAGTAAGTAAGCATTCATCCAAAGAAACTGTTAAATGTTCAGTACCGCAGGTTTTCAAAAGTTAGTCAACCCATTTTTATCTCTGAAACCATTGAAGCTTGAAGATTTGATGTCAAGATGATTTCTAAAGAGGACCTTCCTCTAACGTTTCGACTTTCGAATAAGTAAAAATCAAATCTCCCTTGTTTTCTCAGAAACTGGCCCACAGCAATTCCAGACAGTTAAGCTTAAAACTATAATGTCAACTCATGCAGTTTATTTCTTAACTTTCAGTATCTCTAATCCGTACCTGACTTTAGAGGTCGGCCAAAGAGGTTGTTCCAAAAACGCCGATTTTGGCCCCCCCCTGGATTTGGCCCAAACTTTGCTCAGATGTTGTACTAGGTGTCCTCGATGCTTGGGCAAAATTTCAGCCCCCTCGGATAATTAGGGGGGAGGGGGCAGGGGGGCAAAGTTGCAATTTTTTCAAAACTTTAAAAATCGATATCTCGCGAACGGTTTGAGTGTAAGTGTTGCGGTTTGCGCTAAAAAACGTTNGAGAATATTTTTCAACGTTTTTTAGCGCAAACCGCAACACTTACACTCAAACCGTTCGCGAGATATCGATTTTTAAAGTTTTGAAAAAATTGCAACTTTGCCCCCCTGCCCCCTCCCCCCTAATTATCCGAGGGGGCTGAAATTTTGCCCAAGCATCGAGGACACCTAGTACAACATCTGAGCAAAGTTTGGGCCAAATCCAGGGGGGGGCCAAAATCGGCGTTTTTGGAACAACCTCTTTACCCATTAATGGAGTTGGTCTTGTAAAATCCATGTCCTATTTGACATAGATCCCTTAAAAAGAGCAATTTAAAATCAATTAAACATATTTAGTGAGTCTTTGCTCTGAAATTTATCTCTTGTCAGTCTTAAGGTATCTAAATTTTCTACATTGTTACCAATGTACCTATACACATTAGCAGGGGAATTTCATCTTTTTTTCGTTCAGGTCAAGATAGCATGTAAGATCTGGAACCTGATCTTGCTTTGAAAAGAAGGAATTATGTGAAAAGTCTTAGCATTTTTTGAGTGTCCTTAGGCAGTTTTATTCATTTATGAAATTTTATTGAAAGTCGGCCTATTTTTTTGTCCATGTGTTGTCAATCGCAAATTTAGCAAAATTTCCTCAGAAAAAAATGACAAATTTTAGGTATTAAAAATATGACATTTTTCTTTGAAAGTTTTAGAGAATTCAGATGCTATTTAATTGAATGTTTCTGAAAGTTCTAAAAGAAAGAATTTATAACTTTCTTGAAAGTACTTAAATATTTTATTGGGAGAAATGTGGCATAATTTGAATGCTCGCTTGGCAGAGCAGAGCAGAGGAGACATTCTCGCGTCATTAAGGTTCCTCTTTTGGCCCACCCCTCGAAGTCAAAAAGAACCCCCAACCATTCCGTTGACTTGGTCTCATTTATATGTACGTGAAACAATGGAAAATTACAAAATATGGCTAGAAAAAAGTAGGTAAACAATAGGATGGTAGAATAATGCCGGGTCTCCACTATGCTGGGGGGAAATTAAGTAAAGCCAGAAAAAATCCAGGACTAGAAATGAGGGGCTTGGAGGACAAGGTGCATACTTAAGTGCAGTTTTTGCTTTTTCGAGAAATACGTGTTAGAAATTTTGAAATCACACGGATCCTTACGGCGGAAACAAAGTTCAAACTGACTTTTTGATGTTTACAAATACGAATTTGGGAGCGAATTTTTCATAGAATATGCATTAAGGCTAGTTTTTCTTGAAGTTATTAATATCTTAATGTTTTCAAAGACTGTACTCATACGCCTTGTTAGTGTCCTCCAAGCCCCTCAAATTGAGTAACGATGAACGGTGATAAGTTACAGGGCAAGACTGAGGAGGGGGAAAGTTTTTACCGGGGTCCTATTAACCTGCAGACATTGGAAAATTTCGTTTGATAAAATATGAATTTTCAAGGAAATTGGAGAAGGTTTTTCATCGAATTTTTCAGAAAATTATATTCGCGATAAGGTCTAACAGGAAGTTATCTGAGAATTTCAAAAAAAATATTCCCAACCCCCCCTTTAAAGTAAACGTTCTATCGGAGGAAATTTGGCCACTCTCGAATGTTCGTATGGCGTTTATCCTTACGGCAGTTTTGAGAGACTAAAGCATATTCAGTGCTTCTCTAATGCACCTGCCTGAGTTGAACTCCCCCCCCCCCCCCCNTCAGAATTGCACTGAAACTAACTAGAATTTATTATAACTCATAGGTTTTTCCTGGCTTTGACTCCCCCTCACGGTAACGTGGACCTCCTGTCGTTCTATAAAACAATTGATATTTGGACCGCGTTAAACAGAAAGAAACCAAGCCACATCAGCTGTTGTCAAATTTTACAGGGGAATTTGATTTTTTACGAGAGAACGTCTGTGCGGATTCCTTTGAAAATTTTAAGGAATTTGCTTTGACTTATGGAGAAAATTCATAGAAATTTGCACAAAAATCCGCACAGCCGTTTTCATGTAAAAAAATTAAATTGCCCGATTTTTGGCTATAGTTGATGTGGCTTGGGTCCTTTCTGTTTAACGCGGTACATTTATCGGGTTAGCAGGCCGATTATATACATTGATAGACACAGATATAGATAAAAGGAATGGGGAGGGCTCCTATTGGTGGAAGCGGGTGGTTGCAATGGACAAATGAAGTAGATAACAGACTAACTAATAGCAACCCATGAGAGACCTCACAGTTAGTCCAGCATTTTCTCCCTCAGTCTATAGAAACCACCCACTGCAACCAATAGGATCGCCCCATGTCTTCTTTGTCTTCTGCTCTGTCTATCGCTTTTAATAATCAGCCCGCAGGCTGCAGCTGCCTCACCTAGAGAAGAGAGGCTTTTTTTTAATGATCGGCAACACCACCGATTACAAAACTGTGTTCTCAAGCTGATGAGGAAATCTCTAGCACCTTTCAATTTTTATCAAGGAGATGTTTTCATCATCTTCCAAGCGTGCATAGAGGAAAATTTCAGCACTCAATGAAAGAAAAATCGAATCATATTCATACTGGTTCATGAGTAATATGTGTATACGTTTCAGATACCCTTATTGTCTTCTGGTTCCTTGGTTTGGGTTGCTTTTTTAACTGCATGAATGCGCCATCCAGTAAAGTCGGTGGAATGACATTCACAATCAGCATAATTTCATTTTTAAATAGAATAACATGTTGTATCAGAATATTTTATTTTCGTTGGAAACGTTTAAATCAATAAAATGTAAATTTTTCGCAATATTCTTCGAGAAACTGATTAATTTTGAACCAAATCCTCAATCAAATTCTTGGCAAAATTTGAGCGAAATCAGAGAATTCAGGTTGTAATCCAAGCCCCCCCCCCCTCCTCCTCTCAATCGTTCGTTTGCGAAGATGTGAGCTGTTGCTGTCACAGAAAAATATCTACTGAAGAGAAGTGCTACTTACAGAGAGTTATTGCCAGAATGTGGACAGCTTTAGGGGCTATCTTACAGAAAGGGGATGTTACAGAGAATTTTTAGGATGTGGGCTGCTACGTACAGAGAAACATCTTTAGAGAGAAGTGTTATTAGAGAGTTTACCATAAAGTGGAGTGCTGCAGAAAGTTTTCCGACGAGAGTCGTGTTTGAAAGTTTCCTGCCAAATTTCTAACTTTTAACGATTCAAAAACATTCATTTCAGTCAACGAGGTCAGGATATCAATTTTGAGTTTTTCAGTCCTAGTGGTATTTTGTAAAGGACAGCCACGTATGTGCAAATTTCCCCCTGATTAATTTTGTTGTATGCATCCTGGCACTTGTACCGTATATTCATAGAGAATGGAGATGATGCATGTGTGAGGGATTTGCGATTTGACTGTTGATTCTTATGTAAAAGTTCGCGAGAAACACGATGGTGCCACTGGTTTTCTCTGAAATCAACTCCCAAGCTCAAAAAAAGCTCTCAAGTTGAGGCCAAAGTGGAGGGGATATCCCTCGCTACCCTGAGAGTCCACCTCTACATCAAAACAATCTCTCCATGCAAAGATAGGGAGCAAATACATTGACAGGGCTGCCACTTCATTTTTGGACTCCAAAACTGAAAACACGGCAACCCTGCTAATGTATTTGCTCCCAATCTTTGCGTGGAGAGTTTGTCTGGATGTAGAGGTGGACTCTTAGGGTAGGGTGGGATATCCCCTCCATTTTGGCCTCACTTTGAGAGCTTTTATTGAGCTTAGGAGACAATTTCAGAGAAAACCAGTGGCACCATCGTGTTTCTCGCGAACTTTTTCATAAGAATCATTAGTCAAATCGCAAATTCCTCACACATGCAACATCTCCATTGCTGGAACACTTTCCCCGCTCTTATCTAAACGCGTTTTCCACTGATCAGATCACTAAATGCTCCGACTTACTTAAACAGAAAGAAGGAATAAAGTTACATTAGGAGCGAAAAAAAGTCCAAAGTTTCATTTAACTGTAAGAATCAATGCAGAGATAAATTCGAACGATTGTCTTCACTCTCAATTTAAGCACAGTCTACTTTGGGCTTTTTGAAAAAGCGTAATTCTATTCCGTAAATGAATTTGAGCAAGACCGGATTTGCCATGATTCCATACCTAAAGCTAAGATTAAACTTGAAATTATCTCGACGGTGGCTGTGAGTGAAGTTCTATCGCTCACCTAACGAAATTCACAACACTCACATCCATCATTTCATTTATTGGAGACTTGGAGAGGACGCTTTTTTGCCTGAATGTACAAATGATCCGCGCCCCTCCTCCCCCTCCTTTCAATAATAACTCGAGATTTAAGCGCCTCTGGTTTTTCTGAACTCAAAAGTTTCCAAAGTTGCTGAAATAATATGCGTTTCACACTGTTTTCTCAGTATTATCTGCCAAATTTCTATTTTTTCTTCTTCTTTTTCCTCTAAGGATTTCTCAGGATTGTCAGTGTCTTGCATTGTTGCGAACAGAAAAAAATTAATAGAGTATTCCACCGAATTTATTGTAGCATGAAAACCTTTAATATTTGTATTTATTTTTTTACAAACTACGCGCCTACTAACATTTTTATGCATTCATTTTGTATTTTGACTTTATTTTTTCGTTGCCGTCCGTTTTATTCTTGTTACTTTAGGCTGGTTTTTCTCCACTCCTGATATCAATTTATTGTCTTTAGTTCTTAATGTTTACATTTTTTCTAGATTTACTGGTAAGTCGCATGAACTTATAAGTCTCTCTTTTCATCGTATTGTATGCAATTCTCTCACATCTGAAATGTAACATGTTTTATGTCTACGTTGAAATTGTTTAAAGTATTGTCTCACCTTTACACAGTGATCGTTCAAGTAACTTTATACGCGTTATTTCCGAATTTTTCTAGGTACCTTTTGTACCCCCCCCCCCCCCAATCGTAAATTCTATGTCGCTTTGTCAATATCGATATCGTGATACGAGTATCATCATTTTTTCTCATATCAATACCGAAAATCGTCAAATTGTTTCTGCAAACGTTTTCAACAGAAAATTCGCGTGTTATTTCTTCGCCACCAACTTACTTGTTAATATTATTCAATTTTCAGTGAAGTGATTTGTTGTGTGTTAAAGATGTACTATTCTAGTGAAGTGATCCTCGTTAATTTTTAGAGTGCCTACTCGAAAGTGCATCCTTTCGTTATTAACGGAGATCAGAGAACTTTTTTGGGACTCATTCGTGAGGATGAGGAATCTAATCGTCAGTACTTTCAGGTGAATATGTATAGATTTACTTTTACCTCCGAATTTCTCTCTCGTGACTTTGTCAATGTTATGTGACTTTGATTAAAAAGCATCGCAAAAAAAAAAATCGAATATTAAAAAGTCGGTTTAGAAAATTAGGTAATGTGACTTTTATAGGTTTTTTTTTATTTAACGCGTAATGTTTATGTCAATAATCAAAAATGTACGAATCGACAGTAGCTCAGTATTGAATTTCATTAAACATAGTCAATATTCTTTTTAATATAAACTGTACTTTTGGTGAACATACAATCGTACGCACTGTTTCAAATAACTTCAAGGAAAAAAAGTACGAGAAGAATACCTAATTTGTGCAAAATCAAGCAGATCAACTTGATACGTGAATCAATGACGCGCCGTTATCAACAAATTGTGCTGGAGTTTTTTTTGCGTGTTTAAATTTCTTTCTGGGTTTCAAGTGATGTGTTGAAACAATGAATTCCGAGTTTTTTTGTGTTTTCGTTATAATCGTTGAAAAAACATTTCGTTACCGTCGTCTCTCCAGAATTACCCAGGTACGTATGGTAATCATTAATTCGAGAAAGTATGCGCATATTAGCATACTTACACGTTTCAAAAGCAAACATTTTTTCAGAAATGTAATCTGATAATTGAATTGATTGCTCTACGTTGTAGAGCCGTCAATGAAAGTTGAAAATGTATTGACTAATTAGGATGATCAACTTCCTACGTTTGGAACATATATTTATTCAGGTAACACTTAAAACACAACATGGTGAAAAAAAGCTGAAATATCCGGGACGTTTCTCCCGAATTCTTGGGTTTTTTAAATCGAAAAAAAGAAGAAATAAAGGAAGACTTCCTTTTTGAAATAAAGACAAGTTTTCCTTCATTTCCTTTTTCTTCCATGGAAAAAGCCTGATAATTCGAGAGAAACGTCGCGGGTATTTCTTCAATTTTCAGCCTTTGTTCCCCCACGTTGTGTTTTTTAGTGCTGCTATATCATTTCGGGCTACTTTAAATAATCACATTATGTTTGCATACCTACTTATGTTTTGTTTTCTTCTCATCACTCTTCCATGTCAACTCTTTTCAATCTTTGAGGGAACCTTTGAGCGCAGGTTCCCTTAACGAATTCATAGCTCATGTTTTTTGAGGAAGCCGCGAGGTTTCCATCTGTTTCAGGAACGATTGCAAACAACAGCCTGCACTACCAGCAGATCTGCATTTACTCCTCAGTATTCTTTTCGGCAACTGCCGACGTATCGTTGTGTCAATCAGTGGCGAGGTGTGAATGATCGATTTTCGATGTTTCCCCATTTGAAGCTGTGGTAAAGCATCGATTATTAAGGTGTTCGTTGCGAACACCCCGTTTATCGATACTTTTCCATAGGTTTAAACGGCAGATCAATCGATTTATCGCAAAGCACGCCACGCCACTGTCAGTCTTGTGTATTTCTAAACGTTATAATCGAAATAAGCTGTCAGTTTTCATCTTTTGCTCTCGTTCAGGCTTTATCAAGTCATCACGATAAAAAGCGAAGTAATTTTATTCCAACGTTTCTCAATTGTTTTTAATTTTGAAAACTGTAAATGTAAATAAAATAAATGGAAAACGAAGAGAGAGAGAGAAAAGTTTAATGTAAGTAAATAAATCATCGTTGTGATGCAATTAATTGGACACTGGGTTAGACAATTTTTGATGGATACTTTTTACAGATTACCTCTGTGAAGCAGCACAGTGTATACACTTTAATCGTTACTTTTCTCAGTAATTTTCAGCTCCCATCACATTTAGATATTTTTGATTGATATCGGTCGATTTAATGGACAATAGTTTATCCCATAAATTTTGATGTAAGCTTCAGTTGTACAGGGTTTTTACTGGTGTAATTGTTTCGTATCCAAATACTCAAGTAATATTCGCAAATAGGAAAGAATGTTTTAATGATAAAAATAATATTTTCATGCTTGACAGAGTTTTAATCTTATTGATCTTTTAATGAGGCTTCTATTATTTTTTAACTTAACCATTGCCTTGATATTTTTAATTTGATATAGTTTAAGGCCTTTCGTTTTAAGTTTTACCTGTTTTTGTTTCCGCTCAACAGCAGCATTTTCATCATAACCTTATTATTTTTCGTGTTGATTTTAATATTATTTAAAGTAATTCATGTTTTAGCATGAATTCAGCAATTTCATTACGTTTATAAATTACTTACACTCAGGTCTTACGATCATATTTATAATTTTGTAGTTTCATCCGTCCATTGGTCGATTCTAAAAAAGTACGTGAACCTAAAATTGTGTAATATTATTCGCATGGCTGAACAGCCACTTCTTAGTAAATATTTTTGTTTTTACAAGAAGACATTCTTATTTCAAAAGAAACTTGAATCAAAACTTAATTTTTCTGTTCATTCAGTTAATCAGCAGAAAATACCTAAACATTTGTAAAATCCCAGGTACATTGCAGTTCTCTTTGCTTCTTTCGAACTCACTACTTAATAAAATCATTGCACTAATCTGCGAGGTCTGAAATATTTGAAAGTTTTTGATTATTAGAATCTCGACGTTTGATGTTTTCTTTTCCTACTTTCATAATATATTTATATTTATACGATACCTAGTAAATTCAAAAAATATTTTTGTTAACCTTTGAATAAAAGTTTAGTCTTATAACCGTACTGTATTATTCCTTTTTAACTCTTAAAAATTTCGTACCAACCACTATCAAATTCTCGCTTATTATTTTTTCAAAGTATAAAACCCATGGAGAGATTAAAAATGAATTACTTTGAAGATATTTCTTTAGGGAATAATCTAAGTATGACAATTTTCATGACGATTCAAAAAATGCGTCCCCCAAAAGTTTTAAGGGGCCATCCCTAAAAGGGAGAAGAATCCTAGGGGTTATAGGAGTGGTGCGGGACCTTTGGATCGCCCTGCATACTTCCGTGGAAAAATTTTAGAGACAATTTTTACCTCAGTTTATGCTGATTTTATGCTCAGTATGTCCCCAACTATTACTCAAACGCATTTTCCCCCTTGAAATGACGAGTATTTCTGACGTTAGGAGTCATGAGGTTCTTCAGAGAATATTGATCTCTGAAACCAATAATTTTAGTATTGAATAAGTATATAACGCTGGGGGTCGTTCATAAATGACGGCAGACAATTTTTCAATTTTTGAGCATACTTTCTGGCTCAGCGCTGTACATATTTCACGCCTTACTTTTGCATTTTAAATATTCACCAGTTACACTGTCAAAAATAATAATATTCCCGTCTTGCATTGAAAATAAATTGAGTCAAATGAGACCTTAATCAAGAGATTATTTATTAAAGTCATTTTGGAGGCTTTAAGATACAATTAAAATGCAATTGAAGTATTATTATTTTTAGCAGTGAAGGCAATTTTGCATGAAAAGCACACTGTCGAAAAGTTTTGAATTCAATATTCTCTTTCCAACAAAGCAGGTAATACCTCATATACCTTGTCTGAGTAATATCGACCGAAAAATATACCAAGAGCGATGAATGCGTTCAAATGCTGAAGTTAAACTTAAAGTAAAATAAATTAGAATATAATATTTGAATGCAGCACATCACTACGAACGCTCGGAAAAAGTACAGTTCGTTCTATCTCGGAGTCCGTTCATGAAATACGTAACGTTAAATTTCGAATTTTCAACCGTCCCTTCCCCCCTGTAACGCTTTTATGACATAGGTATTCTGTTCTTTAACACATAAGAACAAAATGGCGTAACAGTCTTCTCGAACCCCCTTGCCCTAAAGCGTTACGTATTGCATGAACTACCCCGCGGAGTCATGGCGATTCTTGCAATTTGGCAACACTGTTTCCCCACCACTTGATCTAGGACTACATGCTACAACGAGGAACCACTATTTCAAGCTCATCCACAAAAGCACCTATCTGCTCTAGAAAACTATCAGCACATTTGCTGTTTCTATAAAGAGCCAGAAATCGCGGTTCCCTATTGCAAATTGCAGTCCAAATATTGATTTTTTTTTTATTTTTTTTTCTTTATTCATACATTTGTGCGGAGAAAAAACATTGTTACCAACCTCGGAAGAATCGCCACCGGTCTCCACCGGAAACGAGGAAAGACCCTCCATTGGTATTTTGGCAATGATGGAAGCTTTTACTCTCGGAACTCCGTCATTCAACTACAACCTACGTACAGAGGCGAATCCAGAAATTTGGCAACACCGAATTTCCTCCATATAAACCTATGCTAAATAATCGATTCTTGTCGGATCAACTGGCCCCTTCAAGAATCGATACATTTCCATAGGTTTAACTTGGGGAAATCCGGTGTTGCCAAATTGCTGGATCCGCCAATGCCTACATACTAGGTGGATGTTGAAGAACGTGTTGAGCATTTATCAGGAGCAGAGACAAGAAGAGACCCTCCAATAGCCTCTTGGCGACTGTGGGCTGCTTATTGAAATGTATAGCCGTAAAAGACACAAAGATAATGGAGCGATCCTATTGGTTGAAACGGGTGGTTGTTACAGACTGAGGAGGAAAATTATGAACTAACTATAGGATCTCTCGTAAGTTGTCTTTAGTCAGTCTATTACTTTCTTTCTTTGTCGATTGCAACCACCCTTGCCCACCTTTCTCCTTGTCCTCTTCGTCTAGATCGCGTTCTCTGTCAATGTCAAAAATGAACCCGCAGCGGGCTGATTGTTGACGTTGATGGACAAATAAGACAATAGGGATATGGAGGAATCCTTTAAATGGAAGTGGGTGATTGCAATCCACAAAAGCGGTAGATAATGAACTAACGAACGACAACCGACAAAAGACCATTTAGTCAGTCCATCATTTCTCCATTTAGTCTATGATAAGTACCAGTTTCAACCAATAGCATTGCTCCATGCTCCCTTTACCTTCTTTGCCTATCGCTCTGTCTATTAATTTCAATAACCAGCCCGCCGGTCCCCACTCAACTAGTGGCGTGCCGTGCTTTGCGATGCATCGATTGATCTGCCATTTCAACCTATGGAAAAGGATCGATTAACAGGGTGTTCGCAATGAACACCTTAACAATCGATTCTTTACCAGAGCTTCAAATGGGGAAATATCGATACTCGACCATTCACGCATCGCCACTGCACTCGACGCGGATCCGTTCACTAATGTGGAAATTGGATTTTCAGATAAGGAGCGAGTGCAAAGATCGAAGAAGCTAGCCCTGGATTTCCTGAGCTTCCGGCACCACCTGGAGATGGCCGGCGTCGGCGGCGGCGGCGACGACTCGGACAGCGCGGAGACGGCGCGGACAAAGCCGGACCTGGAGTCGTTGGTGTCGAGCTACAAGTCGTGGGCGTTCCACCCGGAGGTGGAGTACATGCGGGACCTGGTCGGCGAGCGGCCGCAGTACGTTTGCAACACCTGCGGGAAGACCTACCAGTGGAAGCAGGGGCTCAATACCCACAAGCGGCTGCACTGCGGCAAGGAGCCGCGCTTCCAGTGTCCGCACTGCCCGAAGAAGTGCTACCAGCGGGGCAACCTCGAGAGTCACATCAGGAACGTCCATTCAGGCCTCGTCCAGAACAACGGGCTCGGGCTGGCCCTGTCGGCCCTCTCCGGCAGCGGCATGCAGATCATCAGGCGCGGCCCAGTCGCCACCAGTTCTTTCACCAGCAGTATTTGATGCTCCTTCGTCATCGTCCTCGTTCTCGTCGTCGTTGTCAACGTTCTCCTTGTTCTACTTAGAGTCCCTTTATACTGAGAGTCAAGACAATACCCCTCATGGAGTCACAAACGGGAATAAAGATTACAGAAATTGAACGTTTTTTGTAATCTTTGATCGGCTCATTCTTAAATTCCTTTCTCCGTTCCTTCTTTCATTCCGTTTGTTCCTTGTCGAACTCGAAATTCCTCGGTCCATTCCAGATTATAATCTTTGCAATTGGTGAAAATGTAATCTTTATTCCCGTTTGTGACACTGTGAAGACCTAAAATCCGGTTAACCAATCAGAAATGGATTCGCATTGTCTTGACTCTCAGTATAAAGGGACTCTATAGTTCTACCCAAACCGCGAGTACCGTCATTGCGAGAATATGAACACTGGAAAATCAATTTCTCCACTGAAAAAAAAGTTACGGCCTTCATAGACGTACCATCCGTTCCGGGTCCTGAAGCTGAATGTTCCAGGTGCTGGAGCAGTAGCTTCGACTGCTCCGGGCACTACACTCAGAAGTTTCGACCTCGTAGGCCGGAACGCCGACGGTATGTTCATGTAGCCCGTAGTTACGGCTTCCACTGCTGGAGTTTTATTTTCCAGTGTGATTGGCTCAGCGACCCTACACTATAAAGAAAAAGAAGTTACGGGCTATATAGATATACCATCAGTTCCGGATTCTGAAGCCGGAAGTTCCGGGTGCTAGAGCCGTAGCTTCGATTGCTGCCGGTGTCACGCCCGGAACTTTCGGCCTCTGAGGCCGGAACGCGGACGGTATGTTTATAAGTAGGTACTGCTGCCCTGACCGAAGTTATTTTTTTCATCAAAAGTCGCCAATCCTTTCATCTCGAGTCTCCGCCATTTTTTGGGTTCCCAAGGGTCTCCATGGTATCTGGTGTTCATACTCTCATGGGGGCATTCCTCGTGAAGCTCTCCGCGCTTGTTACACTGAAAAAAAAACTCCGGCCGTGGGAGCCACAATTACGGGCTGTATTGACATACCGTCCGTTCCGGGCTCAAATGCCGAAAATTCCGGCTGCTGGAGCCGTAGCTTCGGCCTCTGAACCCGGAGCAATCGAAGCTACGCCTACAGCAGCCGGAATTTTCGGCCTCTGAGCCCGGAACGGACGGTATGTCTATATAGCCCGTAATTTCGGCTCCCACGACCGGAGTTTTTTTTTCAGTGTACTATCTCCACGACTCCGTAGAGAAGGACGAGAAGGCGGCGCACAGTGACATATTTTGCCGTGCTAAAGAAAAACGCCGCGTATGAACTTTCGAAAGAGGCCGAATTTCCCCCAAAGAAGTACGTATTTTTCATAAAAGTTACGAGCATTTTTCCTTGAAAATTTCCTATTTTTAAGGTCAAATTGCGAACAATATTTTCTGAAAAATCGGAAGAAAAACATTCTCAAGTTTTGCGAAAAATCTGCGTTTCATCAGGGGAAATCTGTAACGCCCGAAGGCTCATACGGTGTTATTCTTTAGAGAGGCAGTGTTGGGCAAGATGAGAAATTAAACCCTCTCAATACTTTTTACCGTGTCAAAATACCACTCTAAAAGCAGTGACCGTATCGGACATTGTTCTACTTCTGATTTTTCCCTATAATAAAAGTCTTTCGAAATCAAATCGGCCCTTGACTAGTTCCTGTGTGTTTTTTACAATGAAAAACGTTTCTCAGAGGTCAATTTTTTTTTGACAACTTAAAAAGCTCCCGGCTATTCTTGATGATTTTAAAAACCTGTAGTCAGCGGCAGATTCATAGCCGTGTCAGCCATTAATCGACACTCAAAAGCATTCTTTTTTATCACATTCGAAAATTCTACGAACCAGAACCAACTCGCCGCCTCCCGTACCTAATTCTTATACGCACGAATACGCCATGACTCAGTCTTCATCCGTCTTATCAAATAACGTGATACTCCGTGTCTGTCTTTCAAAATTTTAATACATTGTGATAATATAATTCGATCCCGTAACTTAGTTTATTTTCCGAAATTGCTTGCGATGAAAGTCCCTGGTTAGTGCGCCATTTTGGCGAACTTTCGAATATTTTTCAAGTGATTTTTTAAAAATCAAGCATATTTCATATTTCCCTCCCCATGAATTATTCTTTTATATTGCGTGATTTTATTAAAAGAAGAACTTTATCCGCTCTTGATGGGAGCTCAATTTCTTCCTCCTTTCTGCCTTGATCATCGTATCGCAGTCCAACATCTTGATATCTTTTATGAACTAAAGATTTTGCCCGCAAGTTCCGGTCGTTGCTAAGTCCTCTTCAACGCGAAGGTTTCGAATGAAGTCAATCGTTTCTTATTACCACCCTATTGTGTAGGTAGTTTAAGCTGTCCCACCACTTACTCAAAGTAAACGAACCAAAAGCATCCTCTTAAAATTACCATCGCTGTAATTTTTTCTTTTTTCCTACTTACTTGTGATTCCGGCCTGATATATAATTGGACTACATTTTGCAATTCGGAACTATAATTTCTGGCTCATTCGTAAAAACACTTATGTGCATGGGGAAACTAATGGCATATACGTTGTTTTTAAACCGGGCCGGAATTTATAGTTCCTAATTGCAAAATGCAGTCCAATTTTACAACTGAGAAGTCCATACTGTTTGAACTTTAATTTAAGGGTCAAAAAATGAAAGAAAAAAAACTTATGCCGTCTCACATAGGCCGTGATTGGCCCACTACGTTAGATCATTGAAAAACTTGAAAATCATTGAAAAACTTAATGTCCTCCTAATTACGCATTTATTTATTTATTTATTTATTAATCAATAAATAATTCCTTTTTTTCAATTTAATGAAGTTCCTATGGAATTGTATACGTCAAAGGTCTCAAAAATGCTGTTCGTTTTCAGCATTGAAATGTAACCTCGTCCCCCCTATTATTAGTTATATTTACCTACCTTATATAATACAAGTAACTTACTGAGATCCATCCCATTTGTAATATTTTACTATGCAGCCGTGATATTGTCTTCCTTATTACCACCAATAATAGTTATTGATATTTTTTAGCAGTTAAGCATTAATCCCTCAGGCCACCCAGCTGCAAGTTTTTCCTCTCCCTTTTTTGTATTTTTGTACATAATGTAAAAATGAATTTAACTATGCAATCAGTTTCATCTGAATGAACCTTAATTTTTATTTGGAGTTTTATTATCTTCTAGACGATTGAAGTCTTTCAAAAGTCTTCCACACACCACTAGATTCGGCCTGTATATAGGGAACACTTGCACCTCATTCTATTTAATTATTATTGTATTTTTTTACTTAATTGATTATATTTACGTCTTTCGTTTTCAATACGTCCGAAGAGGCGTATTGATTTTTATCGCGCTGTTTTTGTGAAGTATATGCGAATTGCCGTCGTTAGGCTCTGTCACTTCATAATTCATTGGCACTTGGAATTTAATTTACTTTTACACCATTCTAAAGCACATCATTCTGAGCCGATACTGGCATGACCGCGTTTCCTTCCGTCCTTTTTGGTCCTTTTACCATGGCAAATAGCTACATCGGACATTGTTCTTGTTTTCGACCCTTTCTGAGACATCACAGTAATTATCACTATCAATGGCGTGGCGTGCTTTGCGATGTATCGATTGATCTGCAGCCATTTAAACCTTTGGGAAAGGATCGATAAACAGGGTTTGTAACGAACACCTGAATAGTCGATTCTTTACCATAGCTTCTAATGATGAATATCGATAATCGATCATTGCCTCGCCATTGATCACTATTATTTTAACCGTTGTAAATCGCATACGGTTTACGAGCACTGAAGAATCTCACGCACGTTTTCTTAGTACGTAACATGTATGTGCACAGCTGCACCCTTCGAAAAATAATTTTTCTTCTATCTTAGCGGCGTGCTCATTTCAGATATTTTTCTCTCTCTACTTGTAATAATTTGTTTTTCTCGTGTACCTACTTAATCTTATACTCAGGTCTATGCTTTCCTTTAGAAGGTGCCCAGAAGTACTTTTTGTGAGAAATCACTTCGACAAAGCGTCAGATAATGTTCGTTGGCACATTTTTATTTTTAAATTCTTCCTTTGTCGCAAAATTATAACGCTGTTATTTTTTAATCACATCTTATAGGTACTTATATGTTACCCCTTCACCGAGTTCTCTAGAATTTCTTCATCCCGCCGTGCAGGCTTTATTAATAGCGAAACTCCCATCCAGTTAGTCCTCTTACATTTACTGCAACTTTTTTCTTGATTTGTCCCATATCCCTTTTGTCAGTGATCACCTGGGGCAATCCTATGCACTGAAACCTTTCCCCTTGATTTTTACTTAGTTTGAAATTTAATACTCATTTTTAAATTCTCCTCTTTTCGTGGGGATTTTTCGCATCATCCCGCCTTCAATTTGCTCTGTTGTGATTTTTTTCATTTTATCCTTCAATGTCTTATGGTGTCTTAACTGTTACGGATTTAATTTCATTTTTACAATATTTTTAACATTATTGTTGAAGTATAGTACCATTGCGTCAGAATTTAAATAGGATACTCCAAAAGAATGCGCACATAGCTTTAAATGCTCAGACCCTCTGAAAACTATTACCCTCATATGAAATCCAGGTAATGTGAACAATGTGAGTTCACTAATACGTTACATAGAAAATTTACCTCTTGAGCGTACTTAGTGAATCAATCCCCCCTTCCCTCCCGTAAATATTTTCTGTTCTGAACAGAAATTATTTTATTTTCTATTCCGGTGCAAAAAGCGAGCTTTTCTGGTTCAAGTCCTCCGAATATTTGACTTTGTGCTAATTTTGATATTACCTCATTTTGTTCTTAGCACCATTTTTTTTTTTTTTTTTTTTTTTTTTGGGGGGGGGGAGTGGTCTGCTAATGGATAGTTTATTTTCAATATTAGAATTTTGTCACTTCCTGTGGTGCAACTTACTATATTGTTTCATTTCTGCCAAATGGCACTATATTCATATGATTGTTTTTCTTCACTTTTTTCATCATTACCGTATACACAATATCAGAAAAAGTGAATTTCCGGCTGAATGGAGATTTCTTGAAATGCTTTGAAAATACGGTGTAGTTTATTGTCACAGGAGTCTGACGAATC